TTTCAGTCCTCCATCATTTAAGGTAATAGTTCTCAACCTCTGGGTCTCAACCCCTTTGGAAGATGAGCAACCCTTTCACAGGGGTCATCTTAGACCGTCAGAACACACAGATACGTACATTACAATTCACAGTTGCAGCAAAATGACAGTTATAAAGTAGCAATGAAAATAAATTTATGGTTGGGGGTCACAACATGAGGAGCTGTATTAAAGAGTCACAGCATTAGGAAGATTGAGAACCACTGATTTAAGAAGAGGCACAGTAGGTAGAGTCCAGTCAGATGACTCAGGCAAAGCCTGATAGATACTCTTGGAAATTTCTTAAATTTTTGTTTCAATCCAAAAAAGGTAAATTTTGATGAATTATAATGTGATTTGGCAGCTACATCCGTGTTTACATCATTTCAGAAGTGGTTCTATTCTGAAGGTAAAAAGTGGTTTCTAAATGAATAATATTATAATTTGCTTCTTAGTTCTGTAACTTTTCCATGCCTGTTTTAGATTTTCAGAAATGTGTCATCATTTAAAAATGATTAACAGGGCTAGGGATGTGGTTCAGTCAGTAGAACATTTGCCTAGAACACACAAAGCTCTGTATTCAATCTTCAGTACCTCATAAAATCAAGCATGAAAAAAAAAATCAAGCATGATGGTTACATGACTATAATCTCAGCACTGGGAAGGTGGGAACAAGGTGGATCAAGGTCATCTGTGGCTATGGTTACATAGTAAGTAGTGAGTTCAAACCCAGCCTAGACTACATGAGATGGGGTCTCAAACAATAGTGATGATGACAAAAATAAGTACCTAGAACTGACTCTCATAGTCATGTTTCCTTTTAATTTTTAAGAGAACATTTCTCTGTGTAACCCTGGCTATCCTGGAACTTGCTCTGTAGACCAGACTGGCCTTGAACTCAGGGATCCACCTGCCTCTGCCTCTCTAATGCTAATTTTAAAGACATACACCACCACTGCCCAGCTCATTCTCATTTTTAAAGAAAGCAAGAATAAACATCCACAAAAAAAGTCATATAGAAACTTTGAGGCCAGCCTTAGCTACCTTGTATGTATATATTCATATTTTAATTTTTAACTTTTTGTGACATGATATCACAAAAAGCGTCCAAGGAGGCTCCTGTGCATCAGAAAAGTTAGTACCTGACAAGGCAAAATGTGCGATCCTTCTAAACAAAAGTTTCTGAAAGTGTGTGGTAACATCTTTGGTAACCTTACTTTAAATATGAATAGGATTGTATGAGCTTGTCACTGGTTCACCCATCTGATTGCGGCACTCTTCTGAGACTAAAAAGTTACTTCTTACAATCTGATGCTTACAGTAAGTACCTCTGAAAGACATAAAATACTGCGGTAAATATTTTGTATTTACTGGGCATTATAAAAAATGAAGCAATTTGACCTAAAAGAGGAAGGCCCAGCCCCGGCAAAGGCAATGGAGTACTGCCAGCCACAAGCTTCCTGCCTGGCACTTTGAAATGGCATCAGGGAATGAAAGAAGCCTCTCATCACAGGAAATACCCAGGGAAGAGACAGAGCCACAATTGTATTCAATTCTTCACTTTAAAAAGTACGGACAAAGGAGACTGATTTGGGAAAACCCATGGAGAAAACCTTCCCACATTCAGGTATTAAAATGGATGTTTTCCCCCTATGTAGTTACCATGGAGACTGGGGCACAGGCTGACATTCTGCAGTTATTTGACAGGGAGGAAAGTTTGGATTGAGAGTATTTTATGAAATAGCCATTTGCAAAATTGCTAAGGGTGTCATCAGCTATCAGGATGCAGACAATTCTTTCTATACTTTTATTCATTTTAAAAAAATTTGTGCACGCTGGTGTTTTCTCTGCATGTGTATCTGTGGGAAGGTACCAGATTAGTTATGGACAGTTGTGAGCTGCCATGTGAGTGGTGAGAATTGAACCCAGGTTTTCTGAAAGAGCAGTCAGTGCTCTCTAACTGCTGAGCCATCTTTTCAGCCCCTTTCTATACTTTTTATGTGACCACTGTTAATAGCAACTTAACTGGTGCTTCCACATCCATCCTTATTTGTCTCATCACCCAACAAAACAACTACAATGATCTTCCTAAAAGGAACTCAAATCCCATGACTACAAAATGCCTAGTTTTAGTGTTGCTTTTTCTTTTTTTTAACACAAAACTACCCTACTCCCAAACAAGTCCTTGTTGTTATCATGATTTACAATGTAACTCATGAACTTTGTGCCTCTTTCACACCCCTGTCCCTTATAATCAGATACCTTCTGATCTTGGAGTTTGTAGAGTTGCTCTTTGTTCCTATAGGGGCAATTTTAAATTGCAATCTACCCCACCAGTCACTGCAAAGAAACGCTTCCTGCATGCCTTTAATCCCAGCACTCAGGAGGCAGAGGCAGGAAGATCTCTGTCAGTTCAAAGCCAGCCTACAGCACTAGTTCCAGGATAGCAAAGGCTACACAGAGAAACCTTGTCACAAACTCACTTACTCACTCATTCACTCACTTCTCCCTCGCTCTCTCTTTCTCTCTGAGATAAGATACAATGTGAAAGAATTATCTGTATTCTGAAAATGTAACTGTCTCACTGACCAAAAGAATAAAACCCCTATCATAATTTCCCTAGTTGCAAAACTAACTGACAAAGCTTATGGAAAATGAGGAAGATTGCACACATTTAAAAAAATCTTGGAGAATGAGAGATTTTTTTTCCATTTCAAGTACTTTTATTTTTGGTAAATGTAGATTACAAAATTTCAATATCAGTACTCATATACAGATACATAGAAAATCCAAATACCAACACTGACTTGAACAAATTAAATATGGTTTTCATGTGCTGTGTGCACTCTTGCACAACCACCATCTAGCTTTTAAGATCATTCCAAGTCACATGAAAGCACACTTTATGAAACTTTTGAGTTTTTGATGACTTTATAAGTTTCTGTTTAAAGGACTAACACATTGCATTATGATGAACACCCTTGGAATGTAAAAAGGAGAAAATAAAACAAAATGTAATACAGACTTGCCAGCCTTGATTTCTTCAAAACATATGAAACAGAAATGTCTGCTAGTTTTATGCATCCCCTGGGGGAACTGTCATAAGGAGGTAAAAGAAACATAAAAAATACATACAGAGTCCACTGAAGGAATACTGGGGGTTTGGAGCACTATAGCTGATGAAAACATGTGAGTTTACATGGAACTAAGAAATAAACTTTAATATGATAAAATCAATGAATGGTGTCTTACACCTCAAATTATAGCACTCCAGAGATTGTGGCTAGCCCGTGTGGATTCGAGCCTAGCTTAGGCTACAGAGTGGAGCCAGGCTTATAAAAATAGAAACTACTCACACGTCTCTTTCAAACAATGAAAGAGGAAATGCTTATCTAACCATATGGGAACTGTAAATGGAGTACACATCCAAGCTTCTGTGTAGATTATGCATAAAACTGTTTTACATGTTAAAGAATCAAAACCCCAAATAACATTTTATAATTTTAAGGAAAAAATAGTCATAAGAGGCTTGTTGTGTTTAAGCATACAAATCAGTAAACACTGTTTGCATAGGCCTTGGAGAAGTGATTTCCACTTCAGTTAGTAAGTAAGTAAATGTTGATAAATTCAAAGGCTGAGGGAGTGAACTGCCTCTGACAACTAGTGTCATTTTCATATATGCAGGACTTGAAGACATGAAGAATCCTAATATAAAGAAGAGCTCACACAAAAGGAAAAAACGTACAGCTTATTTAACTAAAGAAGCAGGCTCTAAGCCTAAGCACGTTAAAAGAGACTTGTAAAAGTGAGAAAATCAAGGACAAAAGAATAAAACTCTAGTCATGTAAATTTAAGAGGCCCCAAACACTATTTTCTTAGCACCATTTCCAGGAGTACACTTTTTGTGCAGTCAACAGGGAGTTGTACTCAGACTGTGAATCTTTTTTTTTTTTTTTTTTTTTTTTGGCATTGTTTCTCTACATAATGCAGGCTGGCTTCGTCCATGGGCATCTGCCTCAGCATCCCCAATGCTAGGATTATGGGCTTGAAGCACCACAATGCACTTTTACTATTTTTTTTTGAGACAGGAACTTTAAAATCTAAACTCACCCTGAATTCATTCCCTGGTATCTGGATTACAGACAAGTGTCATCACACTTGCTTCATAAGGAAGCTAGAAAATCTGGGATCAGTGTGAGGCAGATTTCCTGCAGTTATATAATCTGGTTAAGTCGTTGAAGATCTCTGGGCCTTTTTCCTCATCTGTAAAAATCTCCAGAATAACATTAATTTCTTCAGAACTATAGAAATGCTCAAATAAAAGACTATTTACAGGAAGTTCTCAACTCTAATAGCAACTTAAAGCAAACTAAGAAATGACCAGAGCAATGTTGATGCCTGGGTCCCATGCCATAGGTTCAGACTGGATTATTCTAGGCTTGGCCCTCAGCACCTGTACACTTTAATGTTCCCCAGAAAATTCTAATGTATAGTCATTCCTGAGACCCACAGGCCTGCAACTCTATCAAAGGATGACCTGGGGATTCTGCCAAAATTCAGATCAGGACTCAAGGAGTATCAGGCCAGTATCTGTCTCTCTAACATGCTCTCAGGCTGTGTGGAGTTACTGTGCTACTCCAATGGTCACAAAGCACAATGTGATAGTTTTCTACTCTTCCCAAACAACTATTAGCAATGGTGGCCTGCATTTTGACAAACAACTTTCTTTCCTTATTCCCAGGACTGTAATAAGAACATTATACCAAGCCAGGTGTGGTAATGTACTTTGGCTGCACAGTAAGATCTTTCACAAGCAAAAAATCCCAAAAAAATCCCAAATACAAAAATAGCAGTAAGATTCCAAAAAAGAGAGAGAGAGAGAAAGAAAGAGAAAGAAAGAGAGAGAGAGAGAGAAAGACAGAGAAAGAGAGAGAAAAAAAGAAAGAGAGAGAGAAAGAGAGGGGAGAGAACAAAAGGGGCTATGTTAGACACATGAAACACATGCCCCTGAGGAATTATTTACAAATTACAAGCACACCCAGTCATTATGGTACCACTGTTCTCCACATTCATTACAAATGACATAGGTCATTTGTTCATCCGGATTTGAATTCTGCACCCAACCTGGAAGGAAAAGTGTTCCTCTGGCAATTACAGTGACCTTGCAGTTGTATTTCTCACAGCGCCTGCACTTTATTTTATTTGTCTGTGTGCCTTCAACTGTTTGGGGAAGGTGATGTTCCTGAATACTGGATTCTGTGTAGGAAGCTCTCAACTGCTTCAGTTCCTGATTTGCCATGTCCAGGACAGTCATTTCAGCAAATTCTCTTGCAGACATGGTTCCAGAGAGCAAGTTTTGTTGTAAATGAGAATTCTTGGGGTTGTTCAAATTGGCAACTTTGCTTCGAATACAAATTTTATATTTTTTAATATTGCTTGAATGAAGAGCAAAAATGTGCTCTTCAATTTCTCTTGCAAAATTCTGCCACAAATGTGTTCTTGTGTAATCTGTAGAAGAACTAGCTAATGCTGAATAAAGAAGTTCTACCCCTTTAGATCTAACAGACACTATGGGATCTTGTGACATACTTGAGCTCTTGCTAGTGGATTCAGAGTCACCACCCCCAAAATATTCTTCATTAACTTCCATTTCAGTGATGCTACTTTCAGACCCAATTGCTGCAGCAGGCTTTGCAACATCTTGGGGTACAAGCCTAGAGAGAGATCTGCAAAGACCAGCTATCTCATCCTGGCTGGAATCTAATTCCTCATCCTGGCTCTCAGCCTGAGAAATGGCTGTACTTGCTTCTTTATTAACAGTAGAATGGTGTAATTTAAGACTTTCCCTTGTTTTGAAATGTGTACTCTTATATAAAGCTCTCCACTTTGCCAGTAGACACTTGGCCTTCTTTTTCAAAGTCACTGAGGGGCAGTTTTTGAGGACTCTGTATACAGCTCTGACTATATCTGTCTCCTGGAGATGCTCCTTAGACACATAAATCATTTCTAGTTCAGCAAGCTGGTTGGCGATATCCTCAAAATACCTTTTAGATACCAGCTGCTCAATCAGCGAAGCCCTGGCATTGATCTGTCTTTTGTCAGCCATCTTCACAGCTGCAAAATAAAAAAAAAGAGATGGTTCAATCCTTAAAATCTTGCCTTTACTAGTTGCAGCTCCTGGAGCATGAGCTAGCACTTCTGCCAGTTATCCATTTGATGTTTTCTGAGGGAGTAATGTGATATAAAAGGGTGTGGTAGATTAGATAATACAACGATGTGAACTAGTCAACTTTCAAGATTTTATTCTCAATAGCTGAAGGAAAAATGGCTCTGCAAAGTTTCAGCAGAACATTCAAAAGCTTGCTACAATATAAGCTATAACTTGTTCTACCTCCAACTGTACAAATCAGTACCTTTCTAGATTAAGATTATTCAAGAACCTAGCATGGTAGGGTATGGCTGCAATCCTAGCATCTGGGGATGGAGACAAAAGGAACAAGAGTTTAACACAATCTTTAGATACATAGGAAATTTGAGGCTAGCCTGGAATACATGAGACCCTGTCTCAAAAAAAAAAAAAAAAAAAAAAAAAAAGTTAATCTTGGGCTGAATTTAATCATGTTGGGAATAATAAAATCATGCTCAGGTAAGCATCCATAAGACAATGTTAAGCAAATACTGGTCGATTTTTTTCCTCATATTCAGTTATGAGACCGAGATACTTAATGCCTTTATAATCTTTGTAGTGATGCTTTTCTGAATATAAAAAAGGAAACAAGCCAGGCATTGGTGGTGCATGCCTTTAATCTTAGCACTCTGGAGGCAGAGGCAAGAGGATCTCTATGAGTTCATGACTAGCCTGGTCTACAAGAGCTAGTTCCAGGAAAGCCTCCAAAGCCACAGAGAAACCCTGTCTCGAAAAACTAAAAAAAAAAAAAAAAAAAAAACAACAAAAAATCAGGGATATTAATGTCTGAACCAATGTAAAGAAACAGATATTACATGTATTGGGAAGCAGGTCTGATGAACCCTAAAAGTCAACAGAGTACAATGTGCTAACATTTGAGCTGCTAGAAAAACAGGATCAAATCCAGATGACCCACTTATTCTTTATTTGGTAATACTTTTATATTTACACAAAAGTTGTGGAAAAATACCAGTATTTCATTTATGCAAATTCATATGTCATATAAATGTATTTTTAAAAATCCCCTATTGTAGTATCCTTTTTTTAAGTTTGAGGAAAATACTTTTCTTTTTTTGTAATTTTACATGTATGGGTGTATTGCGTGTCTCCATGTATGTCTGTGCATCACAGACATGCCTGGCACCTGTGGAGGCCACAAGAAAATATCAGACCCCCCTAGACTGAAGTTACAGATGGTTTTCCTTGCAGAGTTTGGCTTCATTAAGTCATATGTGTGTGTTTTCTTCTGCTGAAAGTCCTTCAGACATTTCCTTGTACTCACAGGATGGAGTGTAGGCTCTGTCCATGAGATAAATAGTACCTCATCCTGGCCCTCTGTCTTGACTACTCTCAACCACAGACAGGCAAGGCACCATCTCATAGCTGTGCCTTTGCTACAGCAGCTCCCTAAACCTGGCCTCATGCTATCACCAAAGATACTTCTTCACCCTGACTGTGTATTAGAATCGTTTAAGGACATCAGACAAAACCTACAGCAAACAACACCAGGGCCTCACCCTAGGTATAATGAACGGGAGTCTCTGAGGGTAGGACTTGAACATTTGTTCAGTTCTCCAGCCAATTCTGATTTAAACCACAGAGAGGACCTGACTCCTCCAACCTAACCCACCAACAGGTTACCATTATTTCCAAACAGAGCTGCAGTCTTGCTCCTACACTGAATACACAGAACCTCTCTAACTTCAGATTATGTTAGGTAAGTCCAATTACACAAGAAACTATTAAAGACACTGTTGTGTAATATACAAATTAGAACCCTTTGTATTGTAATGTAGTAAATGTTGTGATGTATATGATTCCTGATAATCTCCAATACTTACCTCTGAACAGTGGAAGGCAATGAAAATTCACTGAGCAAGTCTATGGTACTATTCACGCTCAGGTTATCTCAGTTTTCACAATAAGCCTGGGATGTGAATTTCATCTGACAACAGAAAATCTGTGAAAAACATCAAATAAGTACAGCGTGTTCATGTTTACCATATTTAAAAACATTCTTTGTCCACATTTCCCACAAAGGAGTAATAACTCTTTTATTCCCTTGAACACACCTGCCAAATAGCTCCCAAGATAAGTTCTTCTGTTAAACAAGTGACAAAGTGTCCAGGATGCTTTTTCTTTCAATGTGTGAGCTTCTTTTCTTGTCACTATACAGCAACTTCCTTTTACTCACTCACTGTATCTAAGTCCTGGAAGACAAAGTCCACCTCAGTTCTTGATTTTTAAGAACACCATTTAAAAGTCCTCTACTGCTGGGCCAGTTTGGTTCCCTGCATCCATGTCAGGTAGCTCACAACACCTGTCCCTCTACCTCAAGAACATCTGACATGGGCCAGATGGTGGTGGCTCACACCGTTAGTCCCAGCACTCGGGAGGCAGAGGCAGGCAGATCTCTGTGAGTTTGAGGCCAGCCTGGACTATAAGAGCTAGTTCCAGAATAGGCTCCAAAACCACAGAGAAATCCTGACTTGAAAAACAAACCAAACAAACAAATAAAAACCTTCTATCATTAAACTAGAAAGGGGATATAATGAGAAGAGGGAGGGGGAAGAGAGCGTAATGGAATACATGTGACATGAAAGCAAAAGGAACATTATCTGGGGCAAGGAAGGGAATCCATCAGATGGGGAAGGGAACACAGAGAGGGCAGTGGATAAGGGAGATAATTAGAATAAAATATAATGACTTCTACAAATAAAAATGTGATAAGAAAACCCACTATTCTGAGCTGGGTGGTGGTGCACACCTTTGATCCTAGCACTCTGGGGGCAGAGGCAGGAGGATCTGTGTGAGTTCAAGGCCAGCCTGGTCTACAGAGCTACTTCTAGGACCGCCAAGGCTATACAGGGAAACCCTGTCTTGAAAAACCAAATCAAACTAAACAAAAACAACATCCCCCCCAAAACCCAAAACAAAATAAAACAACACTACCAACAACAACATAAAACCCCTACCATTCTGTATGCTAACAAAAAATTGTAAAATCCTAGATTTTAAAAAAAGTTCTATGGTGTCCACTATGGTCTAATCAAGAAGGTCTGAGCAAACTTTTGGATATGGATGCTCAAGAAAGTATACTTCTGCCAGGTGGTGGTGGCCAGCCTGTCTACAGAGTGAGTTCCAGAATAGGCTCCAAAGCTACAGAGAAACCTTGTCTCAAAAAACAAAACAAAATAAAACAAAAACATTATAGTTCCTGGAAGTGAGGGGTATTAACAAGTTGGCTAAGTTTACTGATCATCCTGTGCCTCTACTTCCTCATCTTCAAAATGGGGTGACTATGCCACCTTGGGTTAATATTCAAACTAAAAGAGATAGTTTCTTTTGTTGGTGTTTTTTGTTTGTTTTGCTGAGACAAGGGTTTCTCTGTGTAGCAGCCCTGGCTGTCCTGGAAGTAGCTCTGTAGACCAGGTTGGCCTCACAGAGATCCACCTGCCTTTGCTTCCCTAGTGCTGGGATTAAAGGCATGGGCCACTACCATCCATCTTAAATGGGACAGTTTTAATGAAGTGCTTACTCTTTATAAAGTGACTGAAAATAATGTGTATTTACAATAGAATGTTAAAAACATTGCCAGGGGCGGAGGAGGTGCCTCAGTGATTAAAAATCTTACCACAAAGCCTAACGGTGTGGGTTCAATTTCTAGAGCATAACAAAGGAAGAGAACTGAGAAGTTATCCCACTTCCACATAGACAACTTGGCAATGCTCATTCACACACAATAAAACAAATGTAATTTCAAAAGGAATAATTTTTGCTAGGCATATTGGCACACATATAATACTAGCACTCAGGAGGCTAAGACAGGAGGATTATCAATGCCAGACAGTATGCGTTTATAGTGAGACTTTTTCTTAAAAACCATTTTAAAAAAAAGATTTAGTATCTAACATACCAGGTGTTGTTCCCGGACAGGAGGTCAGCAAGTACTTTCTGTAAAAGGACAGATAGGAAACATTAGACTTCTAGTGGAGAGACTTTTCAATTATGCTACTTTTATAGCAGAAACAACAGATAGCAGATACTGAAAGGGGCTGGACCAATAGCTAAGCAGTTGAGTGTGTACTGCTCTTGCAGAGGACAGGAGTTCAGTTTCCAGCACCTACATTGGGTGGCTCACAACTGCTTACTGTAAGCTCAGCTTTGTAAAGATCTTGCCTCTGGCCTCCAATGGCACTGGTACTCATGAGCATATATACAAACATCTACATACAGTGAAGCATAATAAAATATGCAGGTTGGGACTGAGGAGATGGCTCAGCTGGCAAATTGCTTGCTGTGCAATTGTGAACCTGTGTCTAGATCCCCAGCATCCACATAAAAAGCCAGGGTCATGGTCCACACCTGTAATTTCAGCAACGGGAAGGGCAGATGAATCTTTGGAGTTCACTGGCCAGGCAGTCTAGCTGAATTGTTGAGTTTCAGTTTCAGTTGATAGACCCTGTCTCAAAAACAAAGCGGGAGGGACTGTGATTTCGAAAGACATCTAAGTTGATCTCTGGTTTACAGGCATGCTTGGGGGGTAGGGATGAGGGTGGTGCTAAGGATGAGGGTGGTGCTAAAGATGAGGCTGTTTGTAGAGTGCTTAGCAAGCATGCCAGAGTTTGCCTCCCAGCACTGCATAAAGCTGGCCTGGTGAGTCACAGAGAGGCCAGTAAGGACTACAAGAGACCCTATTTCAAAGTAGAAAACGGGCAGTCTGTATTTGGCCACAGGAAATTATTAAGGCCTTTCTTAGAGCAATGCTGTCCCCACATAAAGATTTCAAGCCACAAAAAGGTATTTTTAAAATGTATAACAGTTATGTTAAAAACTGATGGAGTTAATTATAATCATTTGGCCCAGGATATCTGAAATATTTTTTTTTCCTTTGGAGAAATGTGGTGGTGGGGGCCAAACACACTTGTGCACACTAAAATATGTGCTCTACCACTGAACTACACCAAAGCCATACCCCAATACTGTCCTTTCAAAATCTTTTGTAAAAGGGTATTTTAATTCTTGTGTTAATCCTCAAGAAAATCTGTTGTGCTTTACATTTTCACACATTTCTTGGCAGTTGTAGTCCAGACCTAGAACATATGCTAATATAATGCTTATACATTTTAACTCATGAGCTTGTGGATATATGTATGTAAACACATATGTACATATAATGTGTGTGGACATATAAAAGCCTGTGCCAGGCAGTGGTGGTGCACACCTTTAAATCCCAGTACTAGGTAGGGAGTGGCAAGCGGATCTCTGTGAGTTCGAGAGACCAGCCTGGTCTACAAGTCTACAAGAGCTAGTTTCAGGCCAGCCTCCAAACCCACAGAGAAACCCTGTCAAAAAGGAAAAGATTAAATAAAAAAAAAAGAAAGAAAGAAAGAAAGAAAAAGGAACCCCCCCCAAAAAAAAGAAAGAAAAAAAGCTTTAACAGTAAGGGTAGGTCCTACAATGTGTTTCCTGAATGAACTCCGACGCTTGCAAATATGGAATTATGGGGAGTACATACATCTGTGCTAAAATAGCCTAATCGCGAAGAAAAAGGAGAGGAACATTTACAGTAAAAAAAAAAAAAAAAAATTCCAGCTTAGGGTACAAACTAGCAGTAACCATACGTTTTTAAGTCTTTAAAACTCAACAGCGAAAGGGGACATCGAACCTTCTAGCACTAGGTAACACCTAAAGGTCGACCTTCGTAGGAAGGCCCTGAGCCAGGGGGGTGGGGCGGGGGCGTTGCCTCTTTACGCGGCCACGTAACAATCCCAGGGCAGGGAAGAGCGAGAGGAAGCGGTCCGCCCAGAGCGATTCCGGTGGGTGGGGTTGAATACTAAACAAAGCCTGAAGAAATCCACCCCCGAGGGCCGGCCCTGAGGCCTACAGAAGAGCAATGGCGGCGCGCTGTCCGGCCCCCCCAAGTGTCCTCGGCTAGAGGGGAGGAGGGAGTTCAACCTTAGAGCCGCCCGGGCACAGGGCGCGTCAGAGCGCCTGCCAACAGGGATGGGCTTCCACTGGAAACCGGAGTTAGCCCTTCAGCGGGGGCCGAGCTAACGGAAATGGCGGACGCCGCGCCCCAACAAGGGCGGTTGCCACCCTAACGTTCGCAGGGTCGCCGGAAGCTCAGGCACCGCCCTAGCGCCGCAACTTCCGGTCCTCAGAGCCGGATGACGTAACCCCCACCCGTCCTGAACATTCCGACGAGAGAACGCGGGCGGGCCTTTGTCCAGACGCTGACGTGCCCAGGAAATGGCGCCTGCGCAGAGCGATCCGAAGTGGTGGGGGCGGGCTCCTAGAGGGTCCCTGAGGGAGGAGCTGGGCCCGAAGTGAAATTAACCTGGCTGCGTGCTTTTCAGTGACAAAGTTTGTTGACGTGCTCTCCAACTTTCCAACTTACTCTTTTTATTTTCTGTCACAATAGAAAAATAGACGAACAAAACAAAACAAATACAGAACGGGACAGGAGACTCTTGTGTTCAAAGACAGCCTGGGTCAAACTTTTTAAAACGATGGATGCGATACTTGCCTCCCTAAACACACACACACACACACACACACACACACACACACACACACACACACACACACACACACACAACAAAACAAAACAAAACAAAACACCACCAACAGAACAATAAAATACAGTACAAACGGCTCAAGGTAGTGGCCTATAATAATATTTTTTAAGGGGGAAAAAAACCCCAAACCCATCAGTATAAAATAAAATCTGTTGAACGTGGTTGCCTGTAATTCACGCATTCCAGAGGCAGAAACAAGAGAATCTGCACAAGTTCACGGCCAGCCAGGGTTACATATTAAGACCCCCATCTCTAAATAAATAGATCAACAAATGGCAGCAAAAAGACAAGACATAATTACTGGCATACTTAACAGTAATTAGTACAACAAGCATTGCTTTGTAGCATGCATCAGATGAATGAAAAA